TGGTGGTAATTATAAGGATGTAATAGTGTGAGCAGGTACTTTTGAGAATGTAATTATAACTCTTTTGGGTTTGTATATAGAACTCTTTTGAAGTTTCTGGCTTTTATTGTTTTATGTTTTGAGTCCTGGCGCGAGCTAGGCAGGCGGCCCACCGATACCCTTGGGTTCGCCCTTGGGAGAAGTGGGGTCGTCACAGTTGGTATCAGAGCCTGCTTCGCGTGGTCTCTGCGCGGAGTGAGCTTGGGCTGTGTGGTGAATGGGTATGAAGGATTAAGTGCTCGTTTGAGCATAAGCTATGAACCCTGAAGTGTTATAGGTCTTCAATCTTTCTCATGGTATCTAAGGACCATAGATAGGTATGTCGGGTAGGAAGTTCGATTTGTAGATGGTTTACTCTTGGGACTGGCCAGCTCGAGATGTGAACTATTTTATTTCGGATTCTTGTGCCCGAATACTCCAGAATTGAGGCGATGCAAGCTACTAGGTACTCGAGACTTGTATCTTGGAAACATGAACAGGCTTTGTCTGACTAGAATGAGCACAAGAGGTCAATGGACATCTAGTTTGGATAGTAAGTGACGTGAGAGATCAGACGGGTTGATACTGGGACGACTTCACCTTTTCCTTTTGGTTCGCCTGCATATTACTACCACCTGACGTTAGTATATGTGTTTGTGTACATGGTTATCTCTCCAACTTGATATGTATGCGTGTACTTGCTTGTCCATCTTTTGATATGGCGTGTTATGTGCGATATGTTATTTGTGTAATTGGTATGTTGGATTTTGTTATTGTAGTCAATTTACTGCATTCATTCATTAAAGTACCCATTTGGAAAGAAAAGAGAGAAAGAAGGGAAAACTATATATATATGTATATATGTGGAAGGAAGACATAGTTACGGACATGGTCATAGCTGTGGAACAAAACGAGGCCGAGAGTCAAGAGAGGAAAGGGAAGAAACAATAGCTGAACGAAACATGGACCGAGAGTGCTTCCATAAATCAAGATTTTCAAGATTGATTATCACTTACTTTAGTTGATGAACCAAGCAGAAATTTTGGTCCTCCTTAGCTCAAGAAAAATTGTGAAAGCAACCCTCTTTCCTAGTTTGATGTGGTCTCCAAGTGATTAGCTAAGTGTGGTTAAATTTTGGTGTGATTTGGTGGAAGATTAATGAAGAAATGAAGAAGAAATTGGAAGAGCTTTGGGTTTGTTTTTCTTCCCCTTTGGCTAGCTGGACTGGAGCATGAGAGAGAGAGGTTTGATCAAAAATGAAGTTTCCAAGAGAAGCTAAAATGTGTGGCCCAAAATTAAGCAAAAGTTAACTCTCTCTCCTCGCGTGTACACGCGTGCGTTTTGTGCTCAATTCCTCTCGAGTTTGTTTCACTAGTGTACTAAACCTCTAATGCACTTGTATTCATAATATTATTATTCACTCTTAATGATCTAAAAATAATGGTTTTAAGTTCCTCAATTATATCACGGGTGTGAAAACGCGTATTTCCGATTTGTGTGCGATAACGTGAAATCTCCATGAAATTCTTATAACGATAGCTTCACTAACTAATAATTGAATACTTAAGTATAAAATACCTATTTTAGAACTAATGTACAAGTCTCCAATTTTCCAAACTCACTGTAAGCCCAAATCGGTTATTGTTTCCAAACGCACAATTGCTATTCTCATTTAACGATCTTCCAAAAATTAAATTTTGAAACAAGTCACTTTAAAATTATGGTTAAGTTATAGACCCATATAATTGGGTTTAAAGAGATTAGAAAATAATATTTGGAGTAAATGACCAAGTAAATAATTAAATAAGTTAGAAATGGGAAATTAAATAAGTAAATTTTTGTGAGTCCTTACATCCTCTCCTTCTTAAGAAAATTTCGTTCTCGAAATTTACCTCGATTGGTGAACAGGTCTGGATACTTTCCTCGAATTGCTTCTTCGACCTCCCAAGTGGCTTCCTCTATTCCATGATTCCTCTAGAGAACTTTTACCAACGGTATCTGCTTATTTTTCAATTCCTTTACCTTCCTATCCAGAAGCTTTATTGGTTTCTCCTCATAAGTCAAGATCTCATCAATATCAATACTTTCCGGTCGCAAAATATGTGAAGGGTCTGGATGATAGTTCTTAAGCATGGACATATGGAACACGTTATGAATCCGAAACAGGCTCGGTGGCAATTCCAACTTATATGCTACCTTCTCCACACGTTGAACAACCTATAAGGCCCTACAAATTTCGGTTATAATTTCTTTCTTTTCCCAGACATTAAACTTGCTTTCCGAAGTGTAATCTTAAGAAATACGAGATCTCCAACCACAAACTCTAAATCTTTTCTTCGGTTATCCGCATAACTCTTTTGACGACTTTGTGCGGTTTGAATCCTCTGGCGTACCAACTTCACCTTTTCATTAGTTTCCTCAATCCAAGGCACTATAATCAGGTCTAAGATCTTTCGTTCTCCTACTTCATCCCAACAAATCAGAGGCCTACACTTTCGACCATAAAGTGCTTCAGACGGAGCCATTTGAATAGAAGAGTGGAAGCTATAATTATAGGCAAATTCCACCAACGTCAAATACTTACTCCAACCTTCCCCAAAATCCAAAACACAAGTCCTCAACATATCCTCAAGGGTTTGAATTGTCCTTTCAGATTGCCCATCGGTTTGAGGATAATAAGTGGTACTAAAGTTCAATTTAGTCCCCAACACCTCTTGCATCTTTTGCCAAAACTTTGAAACAAATCTTGGATCTCTATCGAACACAATGCTTACAGGTATTCCATGTAACCTGATAATCTTATCCAAGTACAACTTAGCTAATTTCTCCAATGGGTATTTCATATTGATTGGCAGAAAATGAGCCGATTTGATCAGTCTATCCACTATCACCCAAATAGCATCGTGGCCTCTCTGTGTCCTTGGTAATCCCGATGCAAAATCCATAGTGATATTCTCCCACTTCCACTCAGGTATCTCCAAAAGTTACAAAAGTTCTGATGGCCTTTGATGTTCAGCTTTAACCTGTTGACAAATCAAATAGGTTTGGACAAATTGGGCAATTTCCTTCTTCATGTTCTCCCACCAATAAAGATTTTTCAACTCTTGATACATTTTATTCCCTCCAGGATGTACCGTAAACTTCGATCGGTGTGCCTCTTCTAGAATTTCCTTCTTAAGCCCTTCATCTTTTGGCACTACTATCCGACTCCGAAACCTCAATACACCGTTTGATCCCAAGTTAAAATCCGATTTGTCTCCCCTTTTGGCATTTTCCGACCACTTTTGCACTTCGACGTCCTTTTCCTGAGATCCCTTGATACGTTCTAACAGAGTGGAATTCACTACAACATTCCCCAAAATTACTTTCCGTGATTCAGGTCTAGGATTCTAATAACTAATTTCCTCTAACAAGTGTAATTTCTTAATCATCAATCCGGCCACTTGCACTTGACGACTCAAAGCATCGGCCACTACATTGGCCTTCCTTGGATGGTACTTAATCGTACAATCATAGTTTTTCAGAAATTTCATCCATCTATATTGCCTCAGATTTAGCTCTTTTTGTGAAAACAATTACTTAATACTTTTGTGATCAGTAAAAACCTCAAATGTCACTCCATACAAATAGTGTCTCTATTTCTTTAAAGCAAATACTACCGCCTCCAATTCCAAGTCATGAGTCCGGTAATTTCGCTCATATGATTTCAACTTCCTAGAGGCATATGCTATCACTTTGTCATTTTGCATTAAAACACATCCCAAACCTTTGTTAGAAGCATCTATGTAAACCACAAAACTATCCTTTCCATTTGGTAGAGCTAATACAGGCGCTCTCGTCAGACGTCTCTTTAATTTCTAGAAACTCTCTTCACACTTAGAATTCCAAATAAACTTCCCACTTTTCTTGATCAACTTAGTCATGGGTCCAGCAATTCTAAAAAAATCCTGAATAAATCTCCGGTAATACCCTACAAGTCCTATGAAATTTCGAATCTCAGTAGGATTTTTCGGTCGCTTTCACTTTGAAATAGCTTCAACTTTACTTGGATCTACTTTAATCCCATTCTTAGAAATTATGTGTCCCAAGAAAGTCACTTCTTTTAACCAAAGCTCACACTTGCTAAACTTAGCATACAATTGATGTTCCTTCAAAGTCTGCAAAACAATTCTTAAGTGTTTTTCGTGATCTTTCACATTCTTAGAGTACACCAAAATATCATCAATAAACACCACCACAAATTGGTCCAGATAAGCCTTAAAGACCTTATGCATCAAATTCATAAAAGCAGCAGGTGTATTTGTTAATCCAAACGGCATTACTGCAAACTCAAAGTGCCAATACCTCGAGTTAAAAGCAGTCTTGGGTATATCTTTCTCTAAAATCCTCAATTGATAATAACCCTATCTCAAATCCAACTTCAAGAATACTACCGCCCCTTGCAATTGATCAAACAATTCATCGATGTGGGGCAATGGGTACCTATTCTTGATAGTAACATCATTCAAGTTTCGATAGTCTATACACAACCTTAAACTCCCATCTTTTTTCTTAACAAACAAAATCGGGGCTCCCCACAGAGAATCACTCTCTTTTATAAAGGCCCGTTCCAACAAGTCTTGCAGTTGCAATTTCAATTCCTTCAGTTCGGCTGAAGCCATCCGATATGACGTTCTAGAGATAGGTGCTACTCCCGGAGTTACATCAATCTTAAAAGTTATGTCCCTTTCCGGAGGTAAAGACTCTAACTTTTTAGGAAAAACATCCGAAAACTCTTTTATTACAGGCATATCCCCCAATCCCACTTTATCACTAGGAGTGTTGATTAGAAAAGCCAAATATTCCTGAACTCCCTTACTTAATATTTTCCTAATTCGGACTCCTGAAATAAGTGCAGATGAGGCTAATCTACCCCTTACATCCAATTTCAAGGTTGCCTCTCCCAAAATGCACAATTCTACTATTTTTGTCTTACAGTTCAACTAGGTATTGTAACGGGCTAACCAGTCCATTCCTAGAATCACATCATACCCCTTAATTGTTAATCCTATCAAATCGGCCAGTAATTTACATTCTCCAACCCAGATATCACAATTTCTATATACCAAATTGGCAATTGGACTTTGGTCCCCAGTAGGCGTTCCAACCTCCAAATCATAAGGCAACTTAATTGGTTTCAAGTCTATTCTGTCCATGAAATTAAGGTTTACAAAAGAATGTATCGCACCCGGATCAATTAAAATCTTAGCCAAACGGTGGAAGACAGGAATCGTACCTTCAACTACCTCAGTCGCATCAGGTATCTGTTGATGATCCAGTGTATAAACCCTAGCAGGTACCTTTGGTTGGCTTCCCCCAACACTGGTCTGTTTAGAGGTTGACTTTTTGGGTCTTTGGGTGCTACCTCCTACCTTCAGCTTATTTGGACAAGTCGCGAGTTGGTGCTCGGTACTACCACAAGCCAAACACTTTCCAAACTTCCTCCAACAATCGTTTTCAGAGTGGTTGGGTTTTCCGCAGTACCTACAAGTGACTTGAGGAGTCACGGCTGAACCACTAGAAGGCACTCCGCTAACTTGAATAGGTCCACTACGATCTCCTCTGGATAAAGCTCCTCTAGAAGCTCCAATAGTCCTTATTCCTCCCATTCCTCTCCCAAGTTTGGAAGGCTGTGGACCCTTACTAGTCTGTCCAAAACTACGACTAGAAAAGTTCCTCTTCCTATTTTGAAAGTCCTTAACTTGCATTCTCGCACTTTCAACCCTTTTCGCTTTCTCTAAAGCCTCAGTAAATGTAGAGATTTGAGCTGTAGCCAAGCCCTCCTAGATTTTCACATTAAACCCTTGTACAAACCGCCTTATCCTTTTCCGCTCATTGGTCACCAATTCAGGGGCATACTTAGACAGCTTAGTAAATTTCCCTTCATACTCTACTACACTAAAGGTCTCTTGTTTCAACTTGATAAATTCATCCTCCCTCTTTTCTTGGATCAAAGGTGGAAGAAATTTTTCATTAAACTCCTTCGTGAAATTCTCCCAAGTCCAAGGGGTTTGAACTCTCTCCCATTTCCCTTTTATCATGTCCCACCAAGCACGAGCCACTCCCTCAAATTGGAAAGCAGCAAAATTCACTCGCCTATCCTCAGTATTGTCTAAAGTAGCGAATATGTTAGTCATCCTCTCCAACCAATTCTCTACTACTTCAGGGTTAGGTTCGCCAATGAACTTAGGCAGGTTAAACTTCAAAAACCTCTCTATGGCTCTATTCTCACCCCTATCCTGTCCCCCAGTTTGATTAAGTGGTCCAGGACCCTGTCTATCAGTCAAACGCTCTAAGATATAAGTCATCCTATTAATGGCAGTCGCCACTTAATTACCCTCAATATTTTCTTGTCCCTGAGTCGGTCCAGTTGCCGATCCCTGGTCATCACCATAAGGTTGGGCCTGTTTAGTCCCTCGCCCATGGTCTTGACCACTCCTTCATCTGTCCATTATCCTAGGTGTGCCTAGTGCAAGAAATAAATCAATTATGCGAGAAAAAGTTGAAAACAAGAACCAATCAAGTAAGCGTTGGAAATAACAACAATTTACATTCATTAACACGTCAAGATCCATACAATTAGTAAGTCACAAGAAGATCACAAAAATATAGCACGGAAGTGCCACAAGAATACTTTTAGTCACAGAAGACTAAAGTAAAAGCAAGTGCCGCAAAAGTAGGCCATACAGTCATACAAAATACAATGGCCCTGACACTTAGCATCACCCCTGCTAATTCTAGCTAAACCAGTCAAAAAGGTCAACTAGTCTAGACCTAGTCCACAGTAGGACTACCAGGTGGAATCTCTCCTCAGGATCCTACTCCTGATCAGGGCTCTGGACAATATCCGACACCCCCTCTATCATCTCAGTGGCATCAATCAGCATCCCCGAAACCCGATCACGGATCTCCTCTCCTAATCTAGTAAGTTGAATCCTAGTACTCTGGAGTTCCTCACGAACAACTGCAGCAGTAGCTACCTCACCCTCTATAACCTCCTCGAGTTCAGCGATCCTCTCACTCTGAGTACCTACCATCTGTCTAAACTCATCCACCTCCGCCTGTAAGTCAAAGTTGGCATTCACCAACTAACGACGCTCATCGTCCATAGCTACACTAGGTAGTTCGGGTAGGCAAATGTCACCCTACACAAACACCGAGGATACCTATCATAGGGTGAGTAGCGCACTCGAGCTCCTCCACTAAGAGCTCAGTAGTAAATAAGCCTAAGAGGCTCTACATGACCATTAGCATGGCCATTCCCATTAGCTGTCGAAGTCCCATTTCCATTTTCCATCCCTGCAAAATAATCACACTTTTCGAGTTAGAAACTTAATTACTAGCTCGCTCGGATGTTATTTAATACATGACCAACTGGGTCACCAACTTGCCCCAAGTATCACTTAAGGTATGACTAAATCGTCCGGTCTCAGGTCTTAAGGGTGGAGTATCTAGTATGTCTCTCATATAGATCTCTAACCTAGTGCTGTGATACCAACTGTGACGCCCCCACTTCTCCTTAAGGCGAACCAAAGGGTATCCGCGGGGCGCCTGCCCAGCTCTCGCCAGGACTCAAGACAAATCCCGTTCAAACTTAATGAAATACCCCTCATGAAGATATAAGTAAGAAAGGGAGGTCACTCCCATAAATAACATTCAAACTTACATCACGAGTTCCAAAATATGTCAAGTATCCAATCCTTACATCAAGTCCCAAAATATACAATAATCCAGAATCCAGCCAAGTACATTGGAAAACCCTAATACAAAAGTACATTAGAAAGGGGTTTCTCCGAGGTCCATTCCAAATCTTTTTCTGTTAAGAAAAACAAATCTACATGGTGAGTGAAACGCTCGTGAGGTCAAGAACAAACATGCAGGCACGTTGTTCAAGTAACAATCCCAATTTAACAAGTAGAGCAATAATATTGCAATAAATAATAATTCGAGCGAGAAAAGTAAACAGAAACAATTCAAGGATATGGTAGCTCTCAGGAGCTAATTTTCACTTGCTTTGTAAATTTAATTCGTATATCTTCCTGTGATGACTCTCCGTCAACTAGGTCGATATTTTCAATCCGTAGAACTCCACTTACTTTTCATGTTCGTCCACCTTACAACCCCCACCGGTCCCAAACGACGATAAAGGCGCTACTGCACGAGTAGGCCAAACAAGATATCTCTAATAGATCAAGTTTATTGTGTTATTCTCATGGCTCACCGAGGTTCTCGACCAAACCCATGCCGACTCGAGTCCCAAGGTTGACCTATGCATTTGGGCTTCCCCCATGTACATTTGAGAGTCGAGAAGCTTCACTCCAATGACGTATGCAGCAATAGCATACTATTTCATGTTATTCAAGCATTTGATATATCGAAACATTTCAAGCATGAGTTATTCATTTCAAATGAGAATGAGTACAATAAAGTGTACACTCGACTCCATTTTAAAAACCTCAAGTCATGGATAACAAGTAAGCGTGTATCAAGTTCACAGAAGTTCAAGTAATCATGCACTTGACACTCACCAAGTAAACAAGAAAGAATGTCACTCGAAGTTCAGGCGTTCACCGTGGGATCCTCTTGAAGGTTCTCATGCGAGCCTGAGCAATTAATAGCAAACTATCATGTATAAACCCCCAATTATCACGAATGATTGTACACTTGTACAATCTAAGAAAATCTCATAAAAATGAACCCTATTTACTCGTAAATCGAGGCTCAAAGGTGGGGTTTTAAAGCACAAGAGAAATCTGATTTTCATCTATAAATTCAAGTGTAAAACGATCAAGTGATACTGAAGGGAAAAGGAGAATTTGAAAAACTCCATTTCCTTAAGTTTCGAAAATTCCAGTTTGGATACAAGATTTTTGAAAAATCGTATCTCACTCATTACAAGTCCAAAATTGGAAAACTTGGTACTGTTGGAAACTTCTTCCAACATACTAAAAGTTCCTACAATACACTTTTCCATGATTTCAAATGGAAGACATTCAAAATTTGGCTCAAATTTACTGTTTTAGGCTATCAAGGCAGTTTCAAGGTTGGTTTTTGGCCAACTTTGGAAATTCGGTAAAATTCACAGAATTTGAACTAGCTTCTCAGATTTGAAACTCAATTAGAGTTGCAATCAAAGTTTAAAATAAAATAATTGGAACAAGAATTGGAGTTCTGAGCATCAAGATATGGCGGCTCAAAGTTGCTGAAAAATGAGACTTTTGGGCCAATTTTCCAGATTTAAATCGCTGATTTTAGGACGTTTGTTGAACATCGAAACGGACTCAAAATGGCACCAAATTTGGCAGTATTATTCTACCATATAAGGTATATTCCTATACCAAATTTCATAGGAAAATTCATTCGGCAAGTTGGTTTACAAAACCATTAAGTTTCCAAATCTCCAAGGCAAAGCTGCCTTGCACCTCTAGTTTTCTTTTCTCAAACCTTTGGTCAAATAAAATCCTAAAACATGTCTCATTTATGATAACCAGGTCTAATAAGGATCCAAGATATATTTGGTAGGTGATTACACCAAGAATTTAAAATAACAAGTCCCAAGTCAAGATTGGTTACAAATCTGTCCAAAATGAGGGTTTTCTCCCAAAAAGTCAGTTTCGAAGTCTGGTCATAAATCACTCAATTAAACTTCGAATTGAACGTGATTGGTGGCATTGAAAAATAGATTCATAAAGCTATAATTTCCTAGAAGAAATCATTTCCAAAATCTGTCCACTGCTATTTGGGTACCAATTCGCTGCTCAAAACAGAGCTCCCAGTATAGACGCGAAACAGGACAGTCATGTTCAAACATTTGGTATGGACTACTCAGGTGAAACCAGGATGTGCATTTTATGCTGTTGGAAGGCTGGGAATGTCTAGTTTCCAATGCCATAAACGGCACTCAATTTCAACATCGGAGCAAAAGGTTATAGCCAAAACAAAAACACTGCCAGAACAGTTACAGGAAATTTCCAGTTTTACTGGTTTCCAAAAACACATCATTTGGCCAACCAAATCATGAAATTTTTTTGATGAAACTTTGTACACAACCTATATTACACATATACATCAGAAAAAAAATCATTAGAACCTCAAAAATGTGCACTAAAGTGCACGAAATTCATAGGGGCAGAATCGAAAAAATTCTCCCTTTGACCTCCTTTGGGTTTTCATCCTTAACATCACTCATTTCTAGTATAACAAGCACTAAACCAACATTAATAACACCATAGTTCATCAAATCAGTCCATCCAACCATAGTGGGAATTCATAGAGCCCACATACCAAAATCCAACAGAAATAAAGCTACCCACATGCATGCATGAGCTCATAAGTGCACTACTACTTCCATAAATCAAGATTTTCAAGGTTGATCATCACTTACTTTAGTTGATGAACCAAGCAGAAATTTTGGTCCTCCTTAACCCAAGAAAAACCGTGAAAGCAACCCTCTTTCCTAGCTTGATGTGGTCTCCAAGTGATTAGCTAAGTGTGGTTAAATTTTGGTGTGATTTGGTGGAAGATTGATGAAGAAATGAAGAAGAAATTGGAAGAGCTTTGGGTTTGTTTTTCTTCCCCTTTGGCCGGCTGGACTAGAGCATGAATATATGGCCTAAAATTAAGCAAAAGTCAACTCTCTCTCTCCTCGCGCGTATACGCGCGCGTTTTGTGCTCAATTCCTCTCGAGTTTGTTTCACTAGTGTACTAA